AGCTTTACTGGACTGCCATCATGAGTCTGTCTGGGCAGGTGTGGCCCCATGTCCTGGAGCCAATCTTCTCCAAGCTCCCACACAGACGCTGTTAACTCGGGGGACCTGCCCCCCAGTTACGGCTTGGTGGGGTAGTTACTTCCATTCCCCTGGCTCAGAGCATGGCCACAGCTATTTAACATATCTAAGCAACCAGCCAAAGGTTATAGATATGTTAAATGACCACACCAGGTGGTCATTTAGCTACAAGGCTGTTGCTATGAGAAACAGCTCTAAAAGGCCCTGCTTCATTTGTCCCTTTCCCCCAACCCACACCTGGGGTGGGGTGGGGGTGAAGACATCTTAAAATCTCCTGGACACCTTAAGTTCTGGGCCCCATTTCAAATGCCCATTTGGGGTCCCCCTCTTGGCTGCACCCTGTAACAATATCTTCAAGAGTAACTGATCAGATGAGGGAGATGGAAGAGAAATCGGGAGTTCAGGTTTGATCATATTACATTTGAGATGCCTGTTAGATATTGAAGTAGACATAGCAAGATGACAGTTAGATACACAGGTCTGGTATTCAGGAGAGGTCCTGACCAGAGACAGAAATTTTAGTTATGGACATAATGGATTGTATGTAATTCCTAAGATCATTAAGGAAGTGAGTATAGATTGGGAAATGAAATATCCTTAGAACTAAGTCCTGGAGCACACTAATATCAAGGATTTGTACGAAAAGAACTAACAAAGATGACTAAAATGGAGTGGTCTATATATATTTTATATAATTGTGATAAGTTCCAATATTTTGCGGGAAAGGATAATTCTGCATAAGTCTGATTTTCTTCCAGTTACATTTAAATGAGGTTAGCGGTCCTAAATTTGTTTCTAGAGACAGTTTAATATAAAATTAAATATAGATGCAATTTGGATATTGTATAAATAATAAGCCAGGTAAACTGGTTGTTATGAATAATTCTTCGTCCCCCCATGCAAACACTCTTAATTTAGTTTAACTTAGTTTAATTTTTTATCCTTAACTGAGGATATGTTTTTATTGATTTTAGAGAGAGAGGAATGGGGGAGGAAAGAGAGAGAGAGAAACCATCAGTCAGTTGCCTCCCATATGTGTCCTGTCTGGGAATGGAATTGGCTACCTTCAGTATGTGCCCTGACTGGGGAGTGAACCCACAACCTTGGCATGTGAGGATGATGCTCTGACTGAGCTACCCAGCCAGGGTCACAATTCCACTTTTAAATTATTACTTTTATCTAATTGATCTAGTTTGTTTTATTTCCTTTCATCTTAAAATCTGTGCTTTTTTAAAAATGTATTTATTTATTTTTAGAGAGGGGAAAGGATGGAGAAAGAGAGGGGGAGAAACATCAATGTGTGGTTGCCTCTCACACACCCCTTACTGCGGACCTGGCTCACAACCCAGGATGTGTCCTGACTGGGAATTGAATTAGCAACCCTTTGGTTTGTAGGCTGGCACTCCATCCACCGAGCCACACCAGCCAGGGCTGTGATAGTTTTTTATCTGCTTAAAATTAACTGATAAAATACTTCTTTGCATTGGTATTTTGTGATTCAGAATTTTATTATTCAATGGGGAATAAATATGAAAGTCATTTAGTCAGACTTGGATTAGGTATTCCTCCAAATGTGTTTGTTTCCAGAAAAAATAATCTAGGGGAAATATTCTGAAGGTAGAAACTAATAGCTGAAAAACATCAGCCAATCAATAAGAATTAACAGTGACTCATTCTTTTCCCAACTGGTCACCTTACCCTAGTAAAGTCTAAAAGTGCTCTGAAACAGGGTAAAAGAAAAATAAAAAGTCTAGCAGCTTCTTCCTTAACCTCTGTCTGTAGCTCAATTGCATTTCTAATTCTCCCACTTAAGCACTTTGAGCATGGCAAACCTGAATTAATGTGGATTGAGTTGTGAAATTCAGTTTCATTGTCCCTACATCAAAACCTTCCTTTTTCTCTACCTTCAGCTCTAGCTTTTGGGACTTTCTAAATACATTTTTCTTCAGTCTTTTTTATACAAGTAATTTTCATCAATAACTTTGTACATTTTTACTTCTTTATGGGGTCTAAGTGCAAAAAGAGAAGGGGCTAGCATAGGAGAATTTCATGTTTGTTGTTCTCTTTTCTGGCTCTACTTTACCGTCTATTAAGTGTTTGTTTGTTTTTCTTTGTTTTTTAATTAACAGAAAAATTAAACCGTCCTGAATGCCTAATACAGAGACAGAAGCCACCATTACCTCTCACCTAGGTTATACCAACAGGCTTTTAACTGGTCTCCCTATTTCCACTTTTGATCCATTATTGTCTAATCTCAACATAGCAACCACCATGACACTGCTCTGCTCAAAACCCTGCAACAGCTCCCCATTTGATTCACAATAAAAGTAAAATTTTCTACAGTGGCCTCTCGGCTTTTGCTTGCTCTGGCCCCCATTATCTCTCTCACCTCTCTTCCTACTTGCTTTCTCTGCTCTGGCCACACTGGCCTCCTTGCCAGTCACATTTCCTTATTAGAGACTTGCTTCTTCTACCTGATTCCCTTGCCTGGTAAATTCTTCCCTCGGGCATCTGCTTGATTAATTTTCTCACCCCCATCTAGTCTTGGCTCAAATCTCTGCTTCTCAATAAAGCCTGCATTGGCTGTCTTTTACTTACTGCTTTAACCTTGCCCCCCCGCCACACACACACACTCCTGAACTCGTGATCCTATTTACATTACTGTTTTAATTATGATAGGCTTTATTATGCTCTGGGAATGAATTAACCCCCAGATCTCAGCTCTCCAGCAAAACTTATTTCTCATTTTTGCTACATATTCATTATGGCTTGGCAAACAGCTTTGTTCTACTTAGAAACTCAAAAGAACCCAGGTTGATGGAAGTTTGCCTTTCTTGTGATGCATCTCAACATGTGGCTTCCAGGGTCACCACTGAAGGGAAGAGAGTTCATAGACTGATTGGAAGTAGCATATGTGGGACTTCTGGTCAGGAAAGCAGCATAGGTAAACATGGATCACCTCCTCGCACAACCACATCAAAAATACAACTAAATTATTGAACAGCCATCACACAGACCTGTCAGAAATTGAGTTGAATGGAAGTGTGACAACTATGGAATTAAAGAAACCACATTCATCCAGACTGGTAGGAGGGGCAGAAACACAGAATGGGCTAGTACCACATTGACATGTGGTGGATAAAAATTTGGGAGGGATATCTCAGGAGCAAGGAGTCCCAGCCCAAGGTTCCAGGGCTAGGAAGATAAGTCCCCACAACTTCTGGCTGCTAAAAACCAGCAGGGATTGAGTGGTAGAAGAAACTACTGGAGTCCCAAGCAGTTCCTTTTAAAGAACCCACACACAGAGTTACTCAGACTCACTCTCTCCGAGCCAGAGCACTGGGGTAGCAGCTTGAAAGGCACCAGTGGCATACAGGGAGGAACTGAAGTGGCTGGCTTCAAGGCGAGAGCTTGGGGACAGCTTTCACCTAAACAGAAAGGAGGGCAAAGCCATAGAGCCAGTAGGCAGGTGCAGTATCTAAGACTCCATCAACCTGACTAATACTGTTTGCCCCGCCAACTTACAACTGTTGCAGTGACTTTACCATATGCATGGCAGGTCTTGGTTCATGCTTCACAACTTCTAAATCCTTTTAAACAAAAATAGCTAACCTCAGTGAGCCACTAGCCTCCATACCTCTTGCTACATAGCCCAGGCAGGGCACTAACAGCAGCCAGCCTAGATTCATAGTTAGGAATCTCCAAGCCCAGCACAAGTAGTAGCCATCTCAGATTGCCCTATGGCTCAGGCGGGTGTCCCTGAGCAAAACACAGGTGGGGGCTTCAGCATGCTAATAAGTAAAGGTTAAAAAATAAGAAAAAGTAAAGCTGCAGCTAACTGCTGAGCTGAATTCTTATTTCTATCAATATATAAGGAACAAGAAGAAGAATGTGGGTTCTTGTGTGGAAATCAGAGAAAAAAAAAGGTAGTTAAAAGGGAACCAGGAGAGTGTGATGCTATAAAAATCAAGGGTATGAAGAAAATGGTAGGCCATGTTAAATGCAGTGGAAGAATCAAAATACTATAACTATGTACTAAATCTTGACCATTGTTCTTAAATGCTTATTTAACTACTTTTTATTAACACCACTTTTTACTGAACTACCTTGGCTTCAAATTCTTGAACTGCCTCAAATATGCCCTCCCTTTTTCTTTAGAAATTTACCACCATGCCTATCCACCATTTCTTTCTCCCCTCTAATGCCAGGAGAGTCATAACCAACTCCTAAACTAGTGCCATTGAAACCAAGTCTTGTCTACATTTTGTTTTTTCCTTTTTATGGTCTACTGCTCCCAATATCCCATTAAAATTTTTATCAATAAGGTTACCATTTGAAATTTTAGTAGAGAAGTAGAAATGGAAAACAAATTACAAGGTATTGATTCAAAATGGGGAAAGGTATGGGGGGTGGGCTGGGCTGGGAATAAAAGGCAGAAAAATGAACAACAATTAAAATAAAAATGGGGAAATGTCACTAGGAATTGTAGATAGCAGTTACTAATGGAAGTGAGAGGGAGATAATGCCTAGTCTGCCTCCCTCCTTTAGTGAGGACCCTCAGTGGGCCAGATTCAAGTACTATTCCAGAGGCACTTTCATTTTGTAGCCGTAGTAAAAGTGTGTCTCCTACCTGTTTTTCTTCTGTAGCTGGTGATTGAATCTTTACTGTAGAAGCAAAAATGAGTCAGTTCCCCCAATGAAGAGTGTGGAAACAGTATTTCATTCACTTGTTCATTTCATGCAAAAGGATTTCCTGAATGTCTCTGCTGTGTGCTATGTTTGGGGTTAGTGCTGGAATACATTGAGAAGTAAAAACTCACAATTCTTGTTTTCATGGAATTTTATAGTATAGTGATTTGTTTTTAATTTGCTTGTTTATATTTAGCCTAATTTATTTAATTTTACTTTTTTCCCCCCTTTAGTATCCTCTTATATATGGACTGATTCTTATTCCCTGCTGGTGTTCCCTAGTTTGCCTAAGTAGAATTTACATGGGAATGCACTCCATTCTGGTAAGAAAAATGTTGTGTTTATAGTGCTTTACTTTTTATGAAATTAACAGGCAATTTAATAATTTTATGTTATTTGTAAACTTACATGAAACTAAATGAGAAAATATAGTTATTGTAAATCTTCTTTGTTTTGCAAAAATGTCAGCATGATGCTTTGTGGAAGTTTTAATGTAGTAATCATGTACTTCATAAAAAAGAGTTCCCAGAAACCACCATAACCAGGTATTATACTCAGGATAACATTTCTCCCTTCTTCAAGTCTCAGTTTTATTTTCCTTCTCATTCTTTTGTATGCCTCCTCTAATGCTGAGTCAAAACCAACAATGGGAATACAGAAACCAAGGAGAGCTCTGCTTATTAATCAAGACCCAGTGCTTCAGAAACTTAAATGCATTTAAACTATTTTGGTATCCCTGTGTACTCTATTCAGCCACATCTTCTCACTTCCCTTCTTCATCTTTTAACCAGATTATTGCAACAGCTTCTTAATAAGTAGTCCTCTTTCTGATCTGACACCATTCTGTGCAGTGTTCAGTCACTTATTACAGTATACTTCCCAAAACACAAATGTGATGCCATACTGAATGACTTTAAGTTTTCTCAAATGCAAAGGGTGTTTCTTAGGTCCATACCTTTCTTTAGGATTTCTGTAACCTATACATGAAATGTTTAGGTTATTACGTTTACCTTTCTTAGCCTACCTAACCTATCCATTCTTCAAGATTCACAAAAATGCTCTTATTTCCTAAAAGCCTCACTACCTTTTCCATCTTCTCCTTTTGTAAGATTGGTTAGGTGATGCTTCTGCCAGAGCCTTTTGACCATAATTCTGTCATAGCACTTATTTCAAACTGAAAGTGCTTTTTTGCCTTATCTGTAACCCCCAGTAGACAATAAGCAACATGAGAAAAGTAACTATTATGTTTTATCTCTCTATCCCTTTCATCTAGTGTGGTGTCTCTTAAAACACTCTATGAATACATTATATATTATACTGTAGATAAATGATCAAAAAAAGGTGCGGATATATGAATTAATTCACGGAATCCAAAAATTTTTAATGAATATATTGAATTTTTTTTGTCTTTAACAACTTTCACTATTATAATTTTCTACTCATAAAAATATCTCATTAGCTTTAGTCATAACTTTGGAAATGCTGGGTTTCTATTTCTTACAGAGATTGTTTGCCTCTGGAAGCTACTGCTGCATTAGTAAATTTCCAGAAGTCCCAAATATGATTTTAATAAGCAAATTATTTGTGTTTAACTTTTTATAATTTATATTAATACAAGTTGTGAATTTATATACAATTCTCTGTCTCTGACTAATCTTTACTAATTTTATAATGAGCCTAAGTATCAGTCTTATGTCATTTATATTTGTCAAAAGAAAATGTTGTTATCCATCACTTTGCCTTTTTAGAGTTACTCCCTTCTACCAAAGGTTAGCAATATCCTAAGATACTCCAAATGGTTATGCATTTGTGAGTGATAAAAAAATAAATGAGGACTTCAGTCAAGATGGCATCATAGGTAAACAAAGATCACCTACTTGTACAACCACATCAAATTACAACTGAACTATAGAAAAACCATCACTCAGAACTGTCAGAAATCAAGGTGAGCCCTGGCTGGCGTGGCTCAGTGGATTGAGTGCGGGCTGCGAACCAAAGTGTCGTGGGTTTGATTCCCAGCCAGGGTACATGCCTGGGTTGCAGGCCACGGCCCCCAGCAACCGCACATTGATGTTTCTCTCTTTCTCCCTCCCTTCCCTCTCTGGGAATAGATAAATAAAATCTTTAAAAAGCCACGCCAGCCAGGGCAATAAAATCTTAAAAAAAAAAAAAAAAGAAATCAAGCTGAATGGAAGTCTGACAGCTGTGGAATTAAAGAAAACACATTGGGGTGGAGACATGGAATGGGTTGATCCCATATCCACATGTATTGGATAAAAATTTGGGAGGGATATTTTGGAAGCAAGGAATTCTAACCCCACACCTCGGTTCCAATGCCAGGAAGGTAAATCCCCATAACTTCTGGCTGCAAAAACCAGCAGGGACTGAGTCGGTGGAGGAAACTACTAGAATCCCAAGCAGTTCCCCTTAAAGAACCCACACACAGAATTACTCAGGCTCACTCCCTCTGAGCTCCACCACTGGGTAGCAGCTTGAAAGGCACCAGTGACATACAGAAAGGAACTGGAGTGTCTGTCTGGCATCAAGGTGAGAGCTGGAAGACAGCTTTCTCCCAGACAGAAAGGTAATAGAGGCCATTGTCACTTTTCTGAACCCTCCCCTCACAGAACTGGCAGGTGGATACCATATCTGACTCCATCAACCTGCTAACAGTTTGCTCCACCCTAGAGTGCTCTGAGACCCAGTCCTAGCAAACCTGAATGTTCAGGCCTACAAGCTGTTAACAGTGACTTCTACATATGAATGGCTGGTCTTCCTAAATCCTATCCAACAAGCAACAGCAGGCCTCAGTGAGCCACCAATTACCCCATACCTCTTGCTAAGTGGCTCCAGGTCTGGCACTAGTAGGAGCTAACCTAAATTCATAGCTTAGTTAAGCCTGGGAATCCAAGCCCAGCACAAGTAGTAGCTATCTGCACATTGCTTTATGCAGATAAAGCTATGAGCTAGCTGCACATAGCTCATGCAGGGTGGCCTCAGGCAGAACACAGGTGGGGGCTGATCTTGGTCTGTACCACCCAGGAAACCCCAGAACCTGACACCAAGTGGACATCTGTAGATCAATAGGAGTGCCACTGCCCTGCCCTTGCACAGCTGATCTTCCAAGGAGGGTGAAGGTCATTAGTCAGTGGTCACAGCCAGTCCTTGCAGCTGACTGGCCTAGATAAATCCCTCCCATTGACCTGCCAACAGCAACAAAGGCTCAGCTACAAGAGGACAGTGTACTTAGCCCACACAGAAGGTGCACCATGAGTACCTAGCTTTTTTCTATGTTTTTTCTTTTTCCTCATTTTTATTGTATTTTTCTATTAAATCCATATATCTTGTACTCCTCTCACCCCCACATTTTTCTATATTTTAATATTTTAGTAATTATTTGCATTTTGAACTATTTTCTTAATCATAGTTTGTATCTTCACTTTTTTTTTTTAAATTAGTATGGATCTAAAGGCAGAGTATGCTGTAGAACTTGCTAATAGGTGCTTAGATACCAATTATCTAAGCTGGTATGTTCATTACGAAGAGCGTTCTGACATGCTCTAAATAATTTATAATGAGCGCTCCATTCAGTATGTACTATATGCTTTGTTGTTACTGTTGCAACACAGCAATAGCTTTGTTTATTTTAATATTAACCTACTTTCCTAACCATAATTATATTAGAAGTTTATGGGTCTGTATATGGAAATGTTTTTTGGAAATTTATTATGAGATTGTAAAGTAGTATGTACATCTGTAACATATTTTTATAACAGGAAAAAAAACATGTTATAGAGGAAGATCTAGAATGGTAAACACTAAGAATTTTAATAATGATTATTCCTGGACAATAACTAGTTGTTATTGTTTTTCTGTATTTTCTAGTTTTTCTATTTTGAGCATGTATTAAGTTTAAATTTTATTGTGCTGGATGGATTTTGAAATTTTTAAAGAAGATAATTAAAGACAATCCATTCTAACAATACATTTTGTTCTTAGAAACCCTGTTGGTATCACTGGTATATTTAAATTACAAGCAGGACACATGAAATGTATTATCATTTAAAAAAAAAAACAAAACAAAACACTAGGAGACAACCAGAGTTCTAAATCCCTTTATGCACCCTGACTGGAGATGGAACCCCAACCTTGGCATATCTGGACAATGCTCTCACCGACTCAGCCAGGGCTATTTTTAAGGTACCATAAAAAGCATTTTACAGGAATGAACATGTACTTGTATCTATAATATAAAAAACTATAATTTTTAGAAGTACCTATCTTTAGAACTATTAACCCTTCTTTCACCTAACCTTAGAGCAAATAAGCATTTTTTATATAAATAACTTATCAGTTGTCATTTACCATATTTTGCCATGTATAATGTACACTTTTTGCTCAAGTTTTTAACAGAAGAATGAGGACAAGCATTATACATGGGTATAGTGATTACATACCACGGATATAATAATGGGTATAATAATTAACGTATATAATATGCACAGAAACATGGGTGCACAGTTAACATGGGAGCACATTATGAGAATTATAAGGCTGAGAACATTTCCACATTAGTATATAATTTAAAATTTTGAATCAGTAATGAAATTTAAATAAAAAATAAGCAACAGCTTCTGTCCTGGTAGTGAAAATCCAGTTGTTCCCTTAGACCTGTGACTTCAATTACAAATTAGAGTAGAAAAGGGTAAAATAGAAAACAAAGGAGCATAATCTTATAAAGTGAAATTATTTGGCAGTTAGGGGTCTGAAATATAAGTTCGATAGTCACGTAATTTGAGATCTCCATATTCTAAAGTATGGTTAGAGTTTGGGTTACAGGACCTTTGAGTAATTGCAGTAAAATTCAGTTAACTAGAATTCTTAGGTAATTTTTAGTGTGTATCAATGAGTTTTTGTGGAAGACCTCATATTCAAGAACAGATGATGAAAATTTAGTTTCTCTTCACTATCAATATTTAATGACTAATGGTGAGAATATTCCTTTTTTGCTTCAACAAATATATTAAGCATTTTTAGTCTAGGAGATTAAATAACTGTGTGACCTTAGTCTGGTTTTCTTTATTTAAAAACTAGTTAAGGTAACATAAATTTTCATCAAATTTGGATACTTTTGACACATACTGATGTTTCTCTCCTCCTTTCTGCCTCCCTTCCCCTCTCTCTAAAAGTAAATAAATAAATGAAAGTATTTTTTTAATGTTTTAAAATTTTGGATACATTTGAAAGAGAAAAAAGATACATTTAATTTTTATGTTTGGGGCAACAGAGCAAAATGAGATTATTCTAGGCAAGCCATATCAGG